TTGGCCATAGACAGCCACAGTGTGCCCAGGGAAAGGGACCGTATATGTATGATCCACAGTTCCAACTACAGGGCAGGCTGAGGCAGAAGGCTCACTTGAGCCCAGAGGTCAGAGGGCAGCTTGGAAAACAGAATTTAAATGTGTCTCAAAAAAGGGGGAGAACGGAAAGTAGAACCTGTGGCTAGTGTCTTAACACAAGAAGCAGAGAAGTGATCAGAGTCCGGATATTTACACAAAACATGAGCTGATCAACGGCATACAAGCTGATGGAGAGGACAGAAGAACACTCTGATTCGGAGGAGTGCTTTTGGTTCCACGGTAAGAGGCGAGGAGTTGTTATTATAACTTCCGCACAATGCCTGTGCCTTAATCTACTATACTAATTTACAGCCAGCAATTGCAAACTCCACAGTTACTGGCCTGCTTCCCTGGCAGCAGCCCGAGGCCTGACAGAAATCCTGTTCCCACGGGCGCCGACCCTGACGATGCAGCCAAAGGTAGCCTTAACTAAATCTCTCATTCTGTTTATAAATAAGACTCAAGATTAAAAGGCTCGTGTGAAAACCTACGAGCTCAGACAGGGCAACCAGCTAACTATGGGGAATGTCCTGTATGTGGTGATATATATATATATATCTGTTATTGGTTGATGAATTTGATGAATAAAACACTGATTGGCCAATAGCCAGGCAGGAAGGAAAGGGCGGGGCTACCAGATGAGGAAAATTCTGGGGAGAGGACCCAGAGAGAAGCCACTGGGAGACGCCATGTAGCTGCTGAAGGAGTAACAGGTCTGGGGGCGTTATCCGGGAAAACAAGACCATGTAGAAATAAATACATCAGTACTCATGGGTTAATAATTAAGAGAGAGCTAGCCATTATGAAGCCTGAGCCATTGACCAAACAGTTGATAGTTAATATAAGTCTCTGTGTGTTTATGTGGGGCTAAAGGACAGTGGGACCAGGTGGGAAATTAACTCCATGTATAAGCTAACCCTCTCTCCCTGCTGGCATCTCCGAACGACCGGTGCTCCGACTCTGCCAAACCAGAAAAGGCTTTGGCACTCCAAATCTCCCCCTACTACCTCCTGGGTCTCTCTATCTCTCCTGAATGCCCTCTGATGAACTATCACGACTTTCTGTCAACTAGCAGCTAACTCAATCACCTGACCCAAGGTTAACTTTACTTAATCAATGCATATGAATACTTAGGGTTCACAGTGTGATCTAATATTCCCCCAACAAGGAGGACATGGGAGCAGTAGATCTGGGGAGGAAGCAAAGAAAGTTCTGTTTCAGTCATGGAATGTTTAAGATACCCACTAGACCTCCAGAAAACAATAGCTATGGAACAATAGCTACTGAAATCTGAAACTCAAAGAACAAACGTGGGAAAGCAATGGATTGCAAGCATTGTACAGTATGGAAAATACAAAGTGTTTATAGTCATGATACTGGATGATGGGGCCCTGTAGAAGGGAGTGAGAATAATGGCTTTTCACTCTTGAAATTCACACACATTGAATATTAATTAAAATTGCACTCAATGTCACAGATGGAAGAGCTTTTTAAAATTTATTTATTTATTATTAATACAATGGTCTGTCTGCATGTATCCCGGCAGGCCAGAAAAAGTTACCAGATCTCATTACAGATGGTTGGGAGCCACCATGTGGTTTCTGGGAATTGAACTCAGAACCTATGGAAGAGCAACCAGTGCCCTTAACCTCTGAACCATCTCTCCAGCCCTATGGAAGAGCTTTTAATGAAAGAAAACAGGATCAGGAAAAACATTTAGTCCCGGGGCTAGAGAGATGGCTCAGCGGTTAAGAGCATTGACTGCTCTTCCAGAGATCCTGAGTTCAATTCCCAGCAAGCCCATGGTGGCTCACAACCACCTTGAATGAGATCTGGTACCCTCTGGCCTGCAGGCAGAAAACTGTATACATAATAAATAAATAAAATCTTAAAAAAAAATTAGTCCCAGATTGCTGTGGTTGTTTAAATGAAATGTCCTCCACAGTCTCGGTCATTGATTCCCAGGTGGTGTTTGGGCAAAATAGGAATTTAGACTTGCTAGAGAAAGTATGTCATGGACCAAAGATTTGCATCATTCCTCTACTGGCTGCTTTTATGTCAACTTCACATAAACTAGAGTCATGAGAGAGGAAGAGGCCTCAGTGGAGAAAATCCCTCCATAAGATCCAGCTGTAAGGTATTTTCTTAATTAGTGATCAGTGGGTATAAGGAGTCTTTCTCTGTCCTGCCAGCCAACTCACAAATAATGACACAGAGACTTTTTTTTAATAGTTTTTTTTTTCAAGGCAGGGTTTCTCTGTGTAACCCTGGCTGTCCTGTACTACCTGTAGACCAGGCTGGCCTCGAACTCACAAAGATCTGCCTGCCTCTGCCTCCAGAATGCTGGGATCAAAGGTGTGCGCCACCTCAGTCCTGCTGAGGCTTCTTATTAGTAATGAAAGCTCAGCCTATAGCTTAGGCTTGTTCCTAACTAGCTCTTTTAACTTACATTAGCCACATATTTTTGTTTCGTTTTGTTTTTTTCCATTTTTTATTGAAAAGCCCATATTTTTATTAATCTCCGTTCGACAATGTCTGACTTGTTCTGCATCTGGCTGGCTTCTCTGCCTCTCTTCTTCCCAGGGTCCTCTCTGTGCCGGGAAGTCCTGCCTATACCTCCTGCATATCTATGGACCATTTAGCTCTTTATTAAACACTCAGAAGGCGTCTTGGCAAAGATAAGTCTTCACAGTGTACAAAAAGATTATTCCACAGAAAAAAAAAAAAAAAAACGGGGGAGGGCCCAGCCCATTGTGGACAATGCCACCCCTGGGCTGGTGGTCCTGGGTTCTGTAAGAAAGCAGTCTGAGCAAGCCATGGGGACAAGTCAGTAAGCAACACTCCTTCTTCCATGGCCTCTACAGCAGCTCCTGCCTTTAAGTTCCTGCCCTGTTTGAGTTCCTGTCATGATTTTCTTTGGCGATGAACATTAATGTGGAAATGTAAGCTGAATGAAGCCTTTCCTCCCCAACTTGCTTTTTGGTCATGGTGTTTCATTGCAGCAATAGAAACCTTAAGACAATTCCCAATTTACTCTGCCTTGTGCTTATGGTTCACGATGCGTGCCCAGGGGCTAGAGAGAGATGGTTCAGCTGTTAAGAGCACCTGTTGCTCTTGTAGAAGACTCAGTTCAATTCCCAACATCCATATGATGGTTTACAACCATCTGGGAATCCACCACCACCTTCTGATTTCCAAGGGCACCAGGCAGCATTCGGTGTATATGAATGAATGCAGGCATAACACTCATATACATAAAATAAAAAAAATTTAAAAATGATGTGAGCCACCAGCTTCTGCTCCAGCCACCATGTCTGCCACCTGGACTCTAACTCTCTGGAAGCATAAACCCAAATAAACTCTTTCTTTATACATTGCCTTGGGGGCTGGAGAGATGGCTCAGAGATTAAGAGCACTGACTGCTCTTCCAGAGGTCCTGAGTTCAATTCCCAGCAACCACAACCATCCATTATGAGATATGGTGCCTTCTTCTGATGTGCAGATAAAAATGGAAGCAGAATGTTGTATACATAATAAATAAAATATTAAAAAAATAAAAAAAAATTGCCTTGGTCGTGGTGTTTATTACATCAATGGAAAAGCAACTAATATGATCGCTAATGCAAAAGAGTATGGGATTGCACTGCCTGCCTAAACTACTCAGATCCCACTCTAACATTTCTGGTCTACCTTGTTTTTGTTGTTGTTGTTGTTATTTTATTTTTGTTTTTGTTTTTGTTTTTCAAGACAGGGTTTCTCTGTGTGACAGTCCTGGCTGTCCTGAAACTCACTTTGTAGACCAGGCTGGCCTTGAACTCACTGGCATCCACCTGCCTCTGCCTCCCAAGTGCTGGGAATAAAGGCATATGCCACTACCACCCACCTAGCTTGCTTTAAAAGGTATTTCTGAGGAGCTGAAGAGATGGCTTAAGGGTTAAGAGCACTTGCTGCTCTTGCAGAGAACCTAGTTCAATTCCCGTTACTCACATGGTGGTTCACAGCCATCCATAACTCTAGTTCCGGGATCCAATGCCCTCTTACCTCTATAGGCACCAAGTACACAGACGGTGTACATGCACACATACAAAAAACACACAAAAGAAATTTAATAAAAACAATCTTTTTTCTTTTTTTCTTTTTTTTTGGTTTTTCGAGACAGGGTCTGTGGCTTTGGAGTCTATCCTGGAACTCGCTCTTGTAGACCAGGCTGGTCTCGGACTCACAGAGATCCACCTGCCTCTATCCCCGAGTGCTGGGACTAAAGGTATGCGCCACCACCCACCCGGCAATAAAAACAATCTTTAAAACTCCTTTGGCATGTAGCTCAATGTGCAAGCACTAAGTTAGCATGCACAGTCCTGAGATTTGACTGCAGTACAGCAAGACGGGGACAACAACATCAGGAACATGCTTGTGAAAACTTCCAACTATGATTATGTATACAGCAAGTTACATGTTTTCGACTAGGGCTCAGAGCAATTGCTGTCTGCTCTTGCAGACAGTTCCCAGCATGCACCGGGCAGCTCACAGCTGCCTAGAACTCCAGGGGATCAGATTCCCTCTTCTGGCCTCTGCAGGTACCAGATAGACACGGGGTACAAAGACAGCTATGCAGGTAGCACATGCATACACAAACAATAAAAATGAATAAATCTAAACAAAAAAAGAGATGAGTACAAGATGCACAGAATGTAAACTTCTTGAAAAAGCATTAACTTGTGTCACTCTCATCACCACTCAGATGGCAGATCTGACGTTAGGTGAGCGTTCTGTCACTGAGCTACACTACCGCCAAATGCATGAACTTTTAACTGTTTCTTTCTTTACTATTTGTACATTAACTCAAGAACCCGTAAGGATGGCTACTTCTTTCAGGTCTTGTGTTAATTTTTTTTTTAATAAAATGTGCAGACTTAACATGACACGATTCAATTCCATTCACTTTATTTTTAGAATGTTTTCATTTCTCGGGACAGAATGACACAAAATACAAGGTGCAGTCCTTCAGGCAGGCTGAGATCATGTTTATCTACTCCCTTACAAGGACGACCCAGGTCCCACAGGAGGGTTACAAATCTCAGAAGTTAGGGGAAGGTAAGACTGGATCTCTAATTAAACAAGAAAAATTGTTAATAACATTGTTCCTCTATTTGGTTACACATACCAGAACTGATACAAATTCAACCCTTTTAAATCAGGGAAACTAATAAATTGGTTTTCTGTAAAGTGAAAGAAAAGGTATAAACCAATTTGTCCCCTTTAGAGACACTGCAATGTAGAAGCGAAATTGTTTTCACTTTGTAAACTTGTTCTCAGTTCTTCAGGTTTCAGGGTACTTCTGAACCCCAATAATCAAGCAGTTCATGACAAAAAATAAAAGTGAAAAAGTAGACACAGAGATCAGTGAAGACTTCACCCATTTTGCTATAGGTCTCCATGGACCGATTTATCACTTCAGCAGGAATTCCAGATAGCAACAGCGCAGCTGTCAGCACTGTGGTCTTTATCTTCTTCTCACCCTGTACCAAGAAAAAGACAAGTTATCCTCATGCCCTCAGCAGACTACGTGTGCTCTATACAGACCGGATGGATGCTGCTATCTCTCCTGACTCTTTTCAAAACTGTAATGAAGTGTCAAAACAACACATCAACAATACACTGAGCACAGAAGAGATAAATCAGCAAATTACTAGGCAATAGCAATTTTTATAACTGTTTCACTTTGGCCAGGCTTGGTGGTGCACACTTGGGAGGCAGAGGCAAGCAGATGTCTGAGTCTGAGATCACTTTAGTATCATACTGAGTTCCAGAGCACAAGAGCTCTGTAGAGAAACCCTGCACCCCAAATAAACAAACAAAAAAGTAAACAAAATAAGTGTGTCATTTTGGAAGCAAGAAGTAACAACTTTAGAAACATATAATAACACAAGCTAAGAAACAAGAAAAATATTACCTGCCACATGAATGACCTGATATGTGACGTAGGGATGCAACTAGCATAGAGACTGCTCTGGTGTCCGGTGTAAAGACAGCTCAAGGAAGGGCCCTGGAAGTTCTGATGCCCAGCACAACACCACACACAACGAGGTCTAAGGGAGGATTTCAGAATAGGGAGAAAACTAGCCTTCAAGGATGGGCAGGATCATGTCAGGGGCAGAGCAGAAATCTATTGTAAGATGAGTCCCATGACAAAAAAAGCCAGAAGCAAAAGAATGCTAGGTATGTCATTGCAGAACCACAGGAACATCCTACAGGACCCTGACTGCTGCACGAAGAAGCAGACACCCCATCCATGTGAGGGGTGCCCCTGAACAGTTCAGAACACTTCTAGGGGAAGATGACATATGTTTCTTAACTTTCTTGTCTTATTTTAAAATAGTTTTTTGAGGCAGGGTGTCATGATCCCAGACTGGCCTCAAACTGGCAACACATCTAAGACTTTACTGATCCTAACTCCCATTTCCCAATGGTGGAGAGCAGAGGCATATGCCACCATGCCCAGATCATGTGGCAGTGAGGCTCAAACCCAGGGCTTCATGGACGCCCGGTGCCCAGTGCCCGGTGCCCACAGAGGCCAGAGGAGACATTTATTATCACTAAGTATCCACTCACAACTCAGCAATAGAAAGCTTATGTCCACAAAAAGACGCATATAAGAGGAATAGTCTTAGCAGGGTGAGTCACATAATACACCAAGTTCAGAGACAGCAAAGATTCCCTAGAAACAGGAGATTGTATAAATAAATAAATAAATAAATAAATAATTTTAGCCATACAATAAAATATTGTGCAGACTGGTCCAGTGGTTAGGAGCCTTTACTGCTCTTGCAGAGAAGCTGAGTTCAGTTAGCAGAATGTGCACTGGGTGGCTCACACGCACCTATAATTCTAGCTGTAGAAGAACCTTCTTCTACTACAATACTCACTTGCTTGTGTGTTTGAGTATACACACATATACACACACACACACACACACACACACACACATATACACACACACACACACACAAACACACACACACACACACACACACACACACACACACACACACACACACACACACACCACACACACACACAACACACACACACACACAAACACACACACACAAACACACACACACACAAACACACACACAAACACACACACACACATACACACTACACACACACACACCACACACACACACATACACACACACACACTACACATACACACACTACACACACAAACACACACACACAAACACACACACACACACACTACACACACAAACACACACACACACTACACACACATACACACACACACACTACACACACACACACATATACACACACAAACACACACACACACTACACACACATACACACACACACACTACACACATACACACATAAACAATCAAAATTTCTATCATTCAAAATTTTCCCACCTAAAAGCCCTGAGCAAGGAATACCTGACCAAAAGTGAGCTTTTATAGGCAGTCTCTTGTTCTTCTTGAAGAAACCTCTACACAGGATTTCCTCAGTTCTCACACTGCTACCCCCAAATTGCAAGAGATCTGCCCTCCACCCTCTTGTTTTTACTTTTGAGACAGGGTTTCTCTGTGTAGTCCTGGCTGTCCTGGAACTCACTCTGTAGACCAGGCTGGCCTTGAACTCAGAGATTCACCTGCCTCTGCCTCCCAAGTGCTGGGATCAAAGGGCTGCACCAACATCACTGGCTCTCTCTTTTTTTAAGATTTATAGTTTATGTATACTAATGTTTGTCTGCATGTACATCTGCACATCAGATCCCATAGACAGTTGAGCTGCCATGTGGGTGCTGGGAATTGAACTCAGGACCTCTGGAAGAGCAGCCAGTGCTCTTAACCTCAGCCGTCTCTCAGCCCACATCTGTCTTCTTTTCCAAGCCCTCCTCCTGTGATGTAGCTCCATATGCAGAGCATCTATCTGCCTGGCTGTGTTAGCCCCTGGGTTTGATGCAAAACTGCTCTCCTTCCCCTCCCACAGAAAGTCATAGATAGAGACATGCCTAAGCAAACAGACATTTTTTTTACACAAAAACTTGACACAAACTTTGATCATATGCTGGGCGTGGTAGCATCTGCCTGTAATCCCAGGAAGCTGAGGGAGGAGAGCAGAGTTCTAGGCTGGACTGAGGCGCATATCAAGAATTGGATAAATTCAATCACAAATAACATTATTTTTACTTATGTATTTGAGACAGGGCCTCACCGTGTAGCCCAGGCTGGTCTCAAACCCATGCTGCTCTGACTTTACCTTCTGAGTGTTGGGATCACCTGCAAGCATCAGCCTGACCTACAAGGACGTTTATCTTTGATGGCAGGCAAGCCACGATCAGGGAGGTGATGTGGACATCTATGGTCAAGCAGACCAGGAGAATGTCAGCTCTCAACATCATTCTGCTCCACAGCTGTTGTCAAATATTTCCCACTCTCAACATGAAAGTGAATTGCTGTCATGTGTTCAAGAAGGGGCACAGTAAAATAATCAAATTTGTTTACTTTCTTAGCAACAAAATGAATTATTAAATTTGCTAGTGAATCTGAAGATTAGCCCTGGAAGGTGAGCCACTCTGAATTATTATGTTTTCATTACAGTAATTGATTGACTACTTTATGTATGGGTTTGGAGGTCAGAGGGCATCTTGCATGGACAGGCCATTCTTTGCTCCTCCACGTGAGTCCTAGCAAGGCAGCTTGGTGGGGTCATCTTTACCTGCTAAGACACCTTGCCAGCTCTAACATATCCAGTGTAACTGATGTTTCCTTTAAGTTCTATTTGGTTTGTTTTTCAATAAAAAAATTATTTTTATTTTTTTTATTATATATATGTGTCTATGTCTGTGTGTAGGTTTGTGCACATGAATGCAGGTACCCACAGTGGCCAGGGAGCTGAATCCCACTGGAACTGGAATTACTGGCAATTACGAACCACCTGATGTGGGTGCTGGGCCTCAAACCTGAGTCCTCTGGAGCAGTGTGTGTGCTAATCACTGAGCCACCTTCACAGCACTGATGTTCTTTTTTCCCCCCTGAGACAGGGTTTTCCTGTGTAGCCCTGGCTGTCCTGGAACTCGCTCTGTAGACCAGGCTGGCTTCCAACTCACAGAGATCCACCTGCCTCTGCCTCCCCAGTGAGTGCTGAGATTAAAGGTGTGCGCCACCACAGCCCAGCAGCCCTTAAGTTCTTAAATGAGTTAGCCGGGAGCCCTCAAGTACTCACTGCAAGTTTGACAACCTGAGTTTGATCTCTGAAAGCCAAGGCAGGAGAGAACCAACTCGTGAAAGTTGTGCTGACTCCCACAAAAGCACATCTACACTCACATATCATACACACACACATACACACACACACACACACACACACACGTGCATGCACACGAAAATAGACTGTTAACAATTAGTCATAATTTTAAAAAAGATTTAAATTTACCTTGGGAAAATATTTGTATAGTCCCATGTACGCAAGTTGCAAAGTAAGAAATGGAGCGAATATAGACTGTGAAGACAGAAAACAAAATTAAGTATTTCCAACAGAATCAATGATATCATAATAAATCAACTTAACAAACACCATTAATTCCAAACAAAACATTATGGGAAAATATTTAATGCAGTGGCCGAAAGTAGCCTTGTTTGTTTAGAAGAGAAATAAAGTGTCATTCTCCAACCATAAAACATGTTCCTCCAGTCATGTGATCCCTTCAGTGCTCCTCCTCCCCAAATGAGCACTCTCGTACAAACTTGTGTTTTCTTTTCATGAGACAGCTTCACTGTTAGACACTTGTTATGTAGAGGCTAGCCTTGAACTCATGACCCTGCTGCCTCAGACTTCAGAGTGTAGCATGAAAGGCTGCACTACCACACCAGCACAAATGTAGGGAATGAAATGTGCAGTAAGATCTCCCTCACCTAGAGGAAGTTAACAAGCAGCTAAAAGCATGCCTAGAAAGTGCAGCACTCGACAGGCAGTCAGTGATAGGCTAGTCTTTCCTTTTTTGAGCTACGATGTCACTGTGATCCAAGACTACTTGGATATCCTGGAAGTCACTCTGTAGACCAGGCTGGCCTCAAACTCAGAGATCCACCTGCCTCTGCCTCCCAAGTGCTGTGATAAAAGTGTGTGCCACCACCTGGCTGACAGACTACTCTGAAAACAGTTTGGCAGTATGACATCTTCAATGAAAAATAAAAAAGATCAAAATGGCACCTAATTTACATAATTATTTCTAAGATGTAAAAGGTTATGAAGGGGCAAAAGAACAAGAAACAAACAAATGAACACCTGATAGTGAAGATAACCATAAAACCCCAACAACAAAAATCCTCACATACGAATGAGGCCTAGGGACCGGAAAGAGCCCTTCCTGCTCTGGTAGAGGCCCCAGGTTCCACTCCAGGGCCCACATGGTGGCTCACAAACAGCTGTAACTCTGGTCCTAGGGAGCTCTGTCACCCTCTTGTGACTCTGCAGGTACCACGCATACACAAAGTGCACACACATATATGCAGGCAAAACACTCATACACATACAACAAAGAGGCACAGCTTTTAAAGCAGGACAACACAGAGCCCTTGGATAAAAGAGCAGCTCTTGGCTCACTATATGCTAAAAACACCTCTGATCTTTGCTTTGGTGACAACTTATTATCAGGGGGAAACAACCAAATATGTTGAACAGATTATATTTAAGAAAATATTTCCATAAAATTGGGGCTGGAGAGATGGCTCATTGATTAGAAGCACTGACTGCTCTTCCAGAGGACCAGGGTTCAATTGCCAGCACCCACATGCCAGCTCACAACTGTCTGTAACTCCAAGATCTGAAACCCTCACACACACATGCAGGCAAAACACCAATGTACATAAAGTAAAAATACATAAATTAGTTTTTAAAATTTGCATAAAAGCAGCTCCTTGTTTTTTGCTGTTATTGGTTTTTTGTTTGTTTTTTTCAAGACACAGTTTCTCTGTGTTTTTCCTGGTTGTCCCAGAAATCACTTTGTAGACCATGCTGGCCTAGAACTCAAGAGATCCACCTGCCTCTGCCTCTCTAGTACCAGGATTAAAGGCGTGCGCCACCTTGCCTAGCTTCTTAAAAGCAGACTTTAAAACCTGTTTCACCTAATGATGTAGATCTTAGTTGTCTGAAAATCTATGTATGCACCTAGCACATAGTATGTGTTTTTTAAATGTCTTCTGAATGGACCTGAAAGACCCCAACTCAAGCCTAGCCTGATATCCACCAGCATGCATTTGAAAATCACTCTGGCCACACACAGCTCTGGGACAAAGAACACATGAAATGGTCGGTCATGATGACCAGTCTCTGGAAATTGTTATTATTACTAGTTTTTATTATCTTCAACAACTGTCTGGTTTCTAAAAATTGTTATGGGCTACCCTGCTCCAGAGAACCCAAGTTTTGAAAATAAGTACAAGTCACTCTGTTCCCAGAAAAACCACTAGCTGTCCCATGGCCTTCCAGGTATAAAAACCAAAATAACATTCCAAACCCCTCATGGGCAAAATTGTAAGTTCAGTTCCTAACCAATCAGAGAATGACTCATGAATGTTATAGCCAATCAATATATTGTCACACTCCTGCCTAGTGACCATAAAGACATAAAAACTGCCTGTTTTGGAAACTTGGGGCCTTTCTCTTCCCAGGGAACGACCCCCATGCGTTGGAATAAAATCCTTTTGCTTTTGCCTTGAATTTGTGTCCTGTGAGTGATTCTGTGGGGTGCATCTCTTGGAGTTGGACTTCACTTTTGGGTCCAACAGACCTACTTCAAATCAAGACGTTGGTAGGCTGGGGCCGGTGGGTAAGAGTACTTGGGTTAAGTTCCCAGCACCCACATGGTGGCTCACAACTGCTATGAGTCCAGTTCCAGAGAATGTGACTCCCTTTTCTGGCTTGAGTAGGCACTAGGCATGCACATGGTACACACACATACATGGAGGCAAAACACACAAACAAATTAGTAGTAAATTTTTGGGAAAAACATTTAAATGCAACACTAAACCATGGCCTGTGCCTTCTGCACTCTTCTGTATCCCATAAGGGACTGCTATTATGACGCTTCCACATTTTATAATGCTGAAGCCCCTTCTGAACTATAGACAATTACCTACACAAAGGCCCACAAGGAGTATATTTTAATGTCTCAAATTTATTGGAAAACTACTAGCTACTATGTAGTACATATTGGCACCTGGACTTTTGGTTCTGGGATGAAACTACCTGGATTTCACCCCACCTGCCTGTAGCTGTGTGACCTTGGGTAAAGTCTGGGTCTTCATTCCTTCATAAGTTCAAACAACACATAGTGCACAAGATGGAGCTTAAATGGATTAACGTAAGGAAAGCCCTTAAATGGTGCCTGGTATGTAGACAGACTTTAGTAATTACTACTAATAGGCTCTCACTCTCTAACTAGGTTCAATAACAGGATTTATAATACGCTTTCAATAGCCCCCATAGGTCTGGTAATACTGGCAAGAAATCCCCATTTTTATAATTGAACTTGCATTTTCTAGTTAATAACTTGCAGCTGTTATCTTACCAAATATTTGCAGACGAAAGCTCTGACGCCAAGAGCAAGAAGAGCACACCCCACCAATCGGAATATTCGAAAAGAGTCGAATTCCTCTGTTGTACTTCCATCTTCCTGGCTGGGCTTCTCACTGATCAGCTGCTTGCGCAGTTTCATCGCTTCCTCAAATCTGGACAGGTACTGTTCTAGGCCATGGTGAGAAGCCCTCTGGGCCGAGCCTGCTGTCGGGTCACCTCTGCTCCGCTGCCGGAGCTCCACACCATCGTTACTACTGCACTCTGGTGGCTGAATGAATGAGTCCAATTTGTCTCCCAGCTGGGTACCCTTAACTTCTGCCACACCACTGGGCTGGTCAGATGTTCCACCGCTGACTGAATCACCGAGCACTACCCTCTTTGAAACTGAAGGAACACCAAGGGAGTTCAGTTTGTCACTGTCCTGGGGCTTTGATTTTGTTTGATTTTCTTCTTCTGAGGAAAAAAAAAAATTAAAGCCTTGTGTATTACAATACTCACAAACATCTTAAAATATTAAAACTCAAAACTATACTGCTAGAACTTGGTCTCTGAATCAAAATAAATCCTGACTCTGCAGAAAACAAAACTAGCTCTTTCTTCCTCACCTTTAAAATACACCAGCCTAAAGAGGAATTCTAGCAGAGGAAAGCATTCAACCTCCGTGGATAGGAAAGACAACTGCTAGACAAACAATCAAAGATCGTAAGGGATGGGACAAGGAATAAAGACCAACTCTTTCACAGATAAAATATCCCAGAGATATGACTGGATTTCTTGCATGAGCTGATATGGATAAAACTACAAAATCTCTCAAGCTTCTTAAGGTTTCAATTTTACAGTTACACTGCTGAGTCCAGAGTGCTGTGAGCACAGGGCGTGGCATACCTACAACCACTGTTGTCATCCTTGGGCAGCCATGAGCAGGCATTTTTAGGATGCTGCTCTGGTTCTTAAAGAGAGATCTCAAAAAAATGATAAAATTTGCAAAGCAAAAGAATAGTACAAGAAAGTACCTTGTGAAAGACAAGCGCCAATACTCTAAGAATATCTTCAGAGCCATCACTACAGAAAGTGTACTTTTCTTGTACTGTTTTAGAGGATTTGGAAACGGTACCCATATGTCTCCTTGGTGTTACCTAGCACACCACTAATGCCTCGTAGAAATGTCAAGAGTTCTACCAAGCCTCCAACCAGTGACTAAAAAGTCAATTACCAAAGGAAATGCCCACGTAGGAACTCTCAAGAAGTTGAGCACAGTCACATTCAATTGTGTTCATTCGGCTCCTTGTTAAGATAGCGGTTAGCATCCCCGCCTGTCCATTGTGTTCATAAGAAAACAATGTACTGGACACAACTTTGCATGAACAATGAGAGGTTTCCTTCGGGGTAAATGCAGTTATTGAAACGACTGATGTAATCTCAGCTAGCGAGCGGAAATCTCAGTGGGCACATTGCCTCCTTGGGGAAGGCCTGTAAAGATCGTACGTCCACCCATCTATATTCACCTCTCCCAGAAGATCCATAGGTGACTGTGTTGAAGGCACTGAGCACAGCCACCGAGGCATGACCACAGGGACCCTGATCCACAAAGGATGCCCTAGCCACCGGCTGAGTAATGACAGGCTGACGCGGTGGACAAGAGTTACAGAGCAAGAGGTCGGCGGCAGGGGAGGAACTGGGAGAAAAGCGCGTGGAGCATATGGGGCGCGGAGCGATGAGCAGTGCGGGGGAAAGGCGAGGGGAGGGAGGGAGGGGGCCGTCTCTGATAACTGGACACGGGAGACAAGCTCAGGGCGAGGATGCCAGACAACAGGAAGCAGTAAGGAAGGAGCGTCCCGGGGTCAAGTGACAAGATAACAGGCTCGTCGCCTGGGGGCGGGGACACGGTACTACCCGAGTGCATTTGGGGCTCAAAGGTCTGCGGGCTGGCGGGGGCCGAGCATCTCGGGGACTCCCAGGGGCGAGCGGGAGACGGGAAACCGAGGCTCTCACCCGCGCCGCTCCCGGGCCTGTGAAAGCCCATGATGCGGTTGATGCGCTGCTCGGAGTTCATGAGCAGCTTTCTCCTCCGCAGCTCCGCTCGGCGCTGGGAGGCCGACAGGCCCGAGGGCGCGGCGGGCCTGTCGCCGCCGTCGGCGGACACCGTCACCGGCTCCATGCTGTCTCCTCAGGCCGCGGCAGGCCCCGAGCTCGCGCCCACTCCCACCGCAGCCCCGCCTCCGGGGGCGGGGCCGGAGGCCGGGGCAGGCGCCCCTGGCCTCCTGGCCGCCATGTTGAGTGAGGGCATCCCGGGTTCACGGTGTCTCCCGACCCAGGTTGGCCGCGCTCGGGTTCCTCACCCCCAGGTTACCTGTCAGGTGCTCTCGAAGCTCCGGAAGAGATCGACGCCCTCAAGGCGGGAGAAATGCCAATGAGGCACAGCTCCGGTTTAGTCTCTGCCAGGAAGCAAAATGGAGGTTGCAGCGACAGGCGCTTGTTCCGGTCTTCAGCGCCTTCGCTGCTAAGATACGTCATCGCGGGTGCGACGCTTTCGGGCGCGCAGCCCTGGGCTTGGGGGCGGTTGGTGGCGGGTGTCGTTGCGCCGGGCTTCCCCGGTGGCGTCCCTGCCCTCACTCCGGTCGCTGGCAGCGCACTGCGTGCGAGCATGTCCCGAGGACTATGTCACCTTACAGAAAGGAGCCCGCGGGGAGCGCCACCAGCTTGTTCCGATGCGCGCACGTGATCAATGGCTGGGGGCGGGGGGGGGGCGCAAAGAGTTAAAACCGCTCGATGCGAACCAGATTCACTCTGTCGGGAAGAGTAAGCTTGAGCGCTTAGAATCAACCGTTTTGCCCCTGCATAGCTTTTCTCATGCCAGCCTGACTTCGGGGGTTAATCCAGCGTCTTACAGATTCCAGCCCTCGGTGTTCCCGGATCTCTGGCCGTTTGAATGAGGGCCACCTCGCCGCCAAGTGCCCTCTGCTCTCCCATAGGTGAAGAGAGCCAGCACCCTGCCTGCTGGGTGAGAGGCCTGCAAGGGGCAGCTGCGCTTTGTGCTGGTGGTACGGAGGGAGCACGATGGAAGTTGCAACGGCAGGCACTTGTTACCAGAAACTCTCCCCCCCTTTTTTTGGAGGGGGGTCGAGACAAGGCTTCTCCCTGAAACAGCTCTGACTATTCTAGAACTCACTCTGTAGACCAGGCTGGCCTCGAACTCAGAGACTCGGAGATCCTTCTACCTCCTGAGTACTGAGACATGACCAACACCACCCCCTCTCTCCCTCCTATCTCTTTCTCTCCGAAGCAGATTATACAGTGATATACGATATATTGTCTCAATAGAAGATAAAAATAGAAGTTAAAATTTAAAAAAAGACACACACCCCAAAGATCTAAACAGAGCATACTGTTTACCTGAATTTTCTTGCTATCTAAAAGACCTTTTATTAGGTGTGACATCTTGTCATATCACACTTGCAAGGAAGTTTTCAAATGCCAGAATGACAAAGGAACCTAACTAGCTCCTACTACCCAAAGGTGGAACAATTTAAACAGAAAAGGTGAATAATTGCTGGGCAGCAGTGAAGAAGTGCTTTAATCCCAACACATGGGAGACAGAAGCAGGTGGGTCTCTGTGAGTTCGAGGACAGCCTGGTCTACAGAGCGAGTTCCAGGACAGCCAGGACTGTTACACAGAGAAACCATGTTTGGAAAAAACAAGAAGAGAAGGGAAGGGAAGGGGGAGGGAGAATAGAGAGAAAGAAAAGAGAAAGGAAGAAAGAAAGAAAGAATACTCGAAACAGACTGGGGATTCATATCTGGGAGTACAGTCCTGGCCAAACACAGGTGGCTAAGTTGGAGAGATGTTGTGGTGTCAGAAGCCTTTTAAACCCAGCAACAGGAGAAAAAAAAAAAAAAAGTGGGTGTATCTCCATGATTGCTGCCAGTGTGGTGCAGTTAGTGAATTTTAGGCCAGCTGGGGCTGTATACTGAGATCCTGTTTCAAATAGGTCTGGAAAGGTGACCCAGCTGTTGAGTACTGGCTGCTCTTCCTGAGTAAGTTCCATTCCATGTCAGCTAACAATTGTAACACCATTTCCATGGAACCCAATGCCCTCTTCTGGACACTGTGGGCAATACATGTGCACACTGCATAGACATGCAGGCAAAACATCCATACACATAAATAATAAGTAATTAAAACATAAGCAACAGCAAAAGAAACAACCTGATAAGCAATAAATCTTAAAGTTATAATGCTTTGACTATTTTTTAAAACTACATCTGTATATCCTTGAGACTTTTAATATCATTTACTTGGAACCAAGTTGGCACAAACATTCATGAGTGAACTACAACAAGCTAAGAGTGATTCTAAGGGATATCCAGAAAATGCAAGCACATGGTAAGTATTAATTGGTGTTGTCTTAGCTGAGTGTCATCTGCAGCCCTGATGAACAAGGGCTGACTGTGCATAGGCACAGCAGATCTTTGTGAGGGCATGGAAATGTTCTAAAGCAGCCACCAGGCAGTGGTGGCTGCTTGCATGCTTCTCCAGTACAGATCTGGTACCTCTTGTAAAGTAGCAGCTGAGGGGACTTCCCGGTGCTCACCACGGCTGATGAAAAACCCAGGGGAGGCATCATGCACAAACCCAAGGATCACATTCATTTCAGGGTGGCAGGGAAGCATGGTTCTGTCACACAGTTTAAGAGTAGAGGCAGGGGCTGGAGAGACGGCTCAGGGTTTAACAGCACTGGCTGCTCTTCCAGAGGTCCTGAGTTCAATTCCCAGCACCCACATGGTGGCTCACAACCACCTGTAATGAGATCTGGTGACCTGGCCTGCAGGCATGGATGCAGGCAGAACACTGTATACATAATAAATAATCTTTTAAAAAGAAAACGAAGTTGGGCAGTATTGTCACATGCCTTTAATTCCAGCACTTGGGAGTCAAAGGCAGGTGGATCTTAGTGAGTTCAAGGCCAGCCTGGTCTATAAAGAAGTTCCAGGACAGCTAGGATTGTTACACAGAGAAACCCTGTCTTGAAAAACCATTAAAAAAAAAAAAAAAAAAAGAGTAGCGGCATTTAGTAAACTAATGAAAGCCAATGAGGAACAACAATGCTTGTCAGTGAGGCAGGCCAGATTCCCATTTGATGGCCATCAGATCAATGAAAAATATACAGTTGGAAATGGAGGCTCAAGATGCAATTGATTTTTCAGCAGACTATACTAAAATGAAACTTGCTACTTTACCCCAGAATTTCATTCTATACCAATAGATTATCAGTTAGAAATCTGTAATTTACCAGGTGGTGGTGGTGTAACCAGGCAGTGGTGGCATACACCTTTGATCCCAGCACTTGGGGAGGCAGAGGCAGGTGGATCTTTGTGACTTCGAGGCCAGCCTGGTCTACAGAGCAAGTTCCAGACAGGCTCCAAGGCTACAGAAAAACCCTGTCTCAAAAAAAAAAAAAAAAAAAAAAAAAACTGCTTCTGTGTAACAATAAGCCTTTCTGCTAAGCTGCCGGAGTTCTGCCCACTGCCATGTTAAGGTCCGAAGTAACACACAGAGACTTATATTAAGTACAAATGCTGGTTGGTAAAAGATAAAAGGTTAGGATGAAGTGTCTAATTTTAACTGGGCAAGTCAATTAGGTTAGCCAAAGGGGGCTTTTGATGGATGAACTTTTATATTTTGATATCAGGACCTTGGTCGTCAGCCCCAGGAGAGGGAAGTGGACAAATAAGGGAATAGACCTTGGTGGCTAGCTTTAGGAATGTAACAGTTTTTTGCAGGGCACAGTGTTGTGGGATATTAATTTAACTATATAAGGATGTGTTGCGCTTGTTTACTTTGCCTGCCTAAGTTACCTGATCTAATAAAAAGCTAAATGACCAATAGCTAGGCAGGAGGTATAGGTGGGATTTCCAGGCAGAATAAGTAGGAGAAGGAATTTAGGCTTGGGGAAGACAGAAGGAAGAAAGAAAAAGAAACACCAGGGAGACATCAGGGACCAGAAGACAGACAGACACACAGGAAGCAGGAAAAGTAGGACATACAGAATGAAAGAAAGGTAAAAAGCCCTGAGGCAAAACATAGATTAAACATAGATGAATAGAAACAGGTTGAATTAAGTTAAAAGAGCTGGTGGGACAAGCCTAAGTTAAGGCCGATCATAATAAGTTTTGTTTTTTTTTTTTTTTTTTGGTTTTTCGAGACAGGGTTTCTCTGTGGCTTTGGAGGCTGTCCTGGAACTAGCTCTTGTAGACCAGGCTAGTCTCGAACTCACAGTGATCCACCTGCCTCTGCCTCCAGAGTGCTGGGATTAAAGGTGTTCGCCACCACCGCCCGGCTAATTCTGTCTTTTTTAAAAAAGATTTTTTTGCCATGTGTTGGTGGCGCACGCCTTTAATCCCAGCACTGGGGAGGCAGAGGCAGGCGGATCTCTGTGAGTTTGAGGCCAGCCTGGTCTCCAGAGTGAGTGCCAGGTTAGGTTCCAAAGCTACACAGAGAAACCCTGTCTCAAGGAAAAAAAAAAAAATTGACTATGTTAAGGAAAAAAAAAATTGACTATGTTTAACATTTAGCCTGCATGCATGCCTGCATACCAGAAGAGGGCACCAGATATCTTTATATAATGGCTGTGATCCACCATGTGGTTGCTGAAAATTGAACTCAGGACCTCTGGAAGAACAGCCAGTGCTCTTAACATCTGAGCCATCTCTCCAGCCCCCAACACCTCCTAATCGTTTTTCAAATAGTGCACTCCTTGGTGACGAAACATTTGAATATATGAGCCTATGGGGGCCATTCTTTTCAAACATCCAGTTGTGTTGGCTGATGTCGGATGGATATGGTATGGGGAAAGGTCCTTGAAAATATCCCCCTTCTCCTTTAGTGGCATATTCATTCAGCTTTTTTTTTTTTAACATGCTGGGTCTTTTATTTATTTGCATGTATTTATGTTCATGTGCATGCAGTTTATGCAGAGGCCGGAAGAAACCATTTAGAGCCTCTGGAACTGGAGTTACAAATTTATAAAAGGTTTTGAGCTACCATGATGTGGGTTCTGGGGACTGAACTACAGTCCCCTGAAAAAGCAACAAATGCTCTTTACCACTGAGCCATCTCTTCAGTCCCCTCATTCAGCTTTTTGTTGTTGGTGGTGGTGGTGTTGAAACAGGTTCTCTCTCCTTAGCCATGACTGTCCTGGAAT